GAGAGAGAGAGAGAGAGAGAGAAGTGAGTGAAGGACTAGGCTTACATATTTGGGCCGTCAGAAGTCTGGGGTCCAATCCAGTGGCAGCTGATGACAAATGGTTCAAAAAACTCCTTATCCCTGCTGTACACTGGGGTGCTGCCTGAACTCCTAAACCCCCTGACAACTGCTGAGGGTCCTGCAGGGCCTCCCAGCCCCACTGAACAGCACAGGGACGAGGCTCAAGGGGCAACTCCTCCAACCAAGGGCACTTTATCAGGAGGGCATGCCACCAGGCAAGCCCGATTCCTGAAACACAGACGCGGTTTCCCCAGCCAAGCCAACACGCTACATCACAGAACCACAGCTGGGCTGCAGTGTCTTGGGGAGGGCAGGTCGTGGATCCAATTTTACAGACCCAAAGAGTAAAAACCGGGAGGAGGGTTCAGCCCAGAGCCAGAGGTAGGTGGAGTGGAATCGCACTAGTTGCGGCTATAGTGAGTTAGCACTCCCATCGCTCTTAGTTCCGAGGTGTGTGTCCTTCTCGCAACTCTGTCATCAGCCCACTTCCGATTAGTAGCAAATGGAGGCAGAGAACAGTGAACTAATTTGTCCAGGGTCACACAGCCAGTAAACGGAGCTTAACAACTACGCTACACCATCAGGGAAAGCTCTCTTGAGTTGGGGGTCAAAAGCCCCCGAAGCTTTCAGGGAGAAACTCGGCCACGAGGGGGCTTCAAAAGGCTTGTGGGAAAATGGAATAGAAAGATAATGGGGTTTTCCCACAAGCCTTTGCAAGTCCCCTTGCATCAGCGCTCAACTTCTCCGAACCTCAGCTCCCCACTTTGACACAGTAAGGGTGTCGGTGAGGCGATCTTCCAAGCTTGTTTCAGCTCTAAGACTTAGTCTCGAGCTGGGGTCCCCAGATGGATCTGCCCTCCTGCCCCTTTTTTCAGGGAGGGGAAAAAAAACAAGAGAAATAACTCAGTGCCTCACTTGCGGTTACAAACATTTATCCATCGATGAAATATACAACTTCCCTCTAGTTCTTAAATGCTTCCTCCCCGCCACTATCATGATCCCAATTCTACCT